TTCCTATTTTCTTGAATGAAGTGAGTTACATTTAGACTAATAATCTTGATGAAAATTCATGTTCCCAAAATTCATTATTTTTCTTCAAAAGAGATTCTTTAGGAGAGAGAGCATTAGTTGCATCTTTTCGCGTTAGAACTAAAAGTTGGCTGAGTCATTTTTGAAATTGAAATTTCTCAAGAAAGACAAAAAAGAATGACAATTACAAGGAATAAAGAAATCATGAGTTTGCTGGCAAATTTTGACTTGTCAGACGGCTTGTCTGTTGGCCTGTCTATGACATGTGTCCCTACAAATTTAACCATATCCTATATAGTTGGACTTTCAACCAGGGACGGATGTACATTCATGATGGCCCTCTCAAACTTTTTTTATTTCCTTAGTACTATATATATATAATATATAATAATATATATATTTAATTGTTTTGCTCCCATAAAATATAAACTAAAGTAAATCATATATTAAATAAAAAAATATTAAACAGAATAACTTTTTTTTAGGCGAACGATTCAGATTCTTTTCTTTTAAAAAGCAAGCATATATAAAAATTAAAATAGTTAATTATTCTGTAAACCATTAAACAAACAATTAAAATAAACCATATAAAACGCAAAAGAAGTTTCACTTTTCGGCTGCAGAAAATTTGAGAGAGCACGACTGAGCAAATCAAAATAAAAAAAAACATATCGATTGAGATTTGAGCCCAATCTCTTCCTTTTGTTTTGTTTGTTTTCTTTTGAGCCCCTTTTTGTGTTTCTCTTACCATTGGTTATCTTGGGTTTCAATTCTATTCTACTCCACTTGCTTGGGACTAAAAGGCTATGTTGTTGTTGTTGAGATTTGAGCATTCATCTTCTTCAGATCGGATAATTGTATTTGTAAGTACTTTTTTTATATCTTTATTTATGAATTATGATAATATCTATTTGTTCCTTTGAGGCAATTTGTGGATTTTGTTTTATTTTGTTTTAAGGTTAACTTGGATCTGGAGCCCATGCCTTGTCTGCCATTTGCAGGGTAGGGTGGAATTTTGGATGCTCCAAGTTTATAAAAATCAAATTTTAGGAGGAATGTAATTGAAAAACTTTTAAGTGCTTCTAAGTTCTTAACGAGCAAAAGGAAAGACGTGATGTTCTAATGACAAAATCAACGGTTGTAATTGTTCCAAAGTTCAATATTTCATTTCTAATTTCTCATTCCAAAGGACAAAGACTTGTAATATCTTATAATGAAACAATGCCTTAAAATAACAAGGCCATCAAAGTACCCACGAAAACAAAGTAACACATGCATGCTCATGTCCTTGCATTAAAATTCTTGAAATATAGTAACTAAGTAACATAATTTCACAATTGGCATCTCAAGTCTACAATCGAACAAATCGGTAACCAAAAAGAAACTTGAATGAGTCGAGTAATTATGGGGCTGGCTTTACCTTTCATCCTTTTCAATTGAAAGTAGGCACCACCTCATAACATTGAATGTTAAGTTAATCATAAAAAATGGGATCAAATCATCAAACAATTAGTTTATTTTTTGGTCCAAAACCACATATATCAATTAATTCAATACATCTGTATAAAATAGTTTACACCTTTAGATCATCGTGAATAATATGATAAATTTGTTATATTTATATAATACCAACACAATGTCTTTAATTTTATCTAATATAAAAAATTTAGAGAAAATTGCAAATTTGGTCCCAGAACTTTTGTTATTTCACACATTTGGTCCCAGGCATGCCAATTATGGTCCTTTTTTAATTTTCGTTGCCAAAATGGTCCCACGTCCGTCAAGATTGACGGGGCTCGTGTGAGGACGTTAGATTAGACCAATTTTGCAATTTTTGGGACCAATTTTGCAATTTCTTTTTTTTTTTAAAAAAAAAAGAGTTCTTCAAGTTCTTCAAGTCTCTCTCATTCACCCAAAGCCGAAATGACATAATAAAATTAATTTACTATGAATATGATGCAAGAAATAAATTTTAAAAATAGTTTTATAAAAATAAATATCGGGTGGAAAAGTAAGGGCGTTGATAAATTTTAATTTGGGGTGGAAAAGTAAACGATATAATTGCTAATTGAGTGGTATTTATTTTATTTTCTAATATTTTTACCGTCATTACTTAAAAAATGTTGACAATTATTTGAATATTATTTAAATTAAAGAATAATTAGAAATAATATTATTTTAATTAAATAAAGCAAACCAAAAGACATAATCCAATTTATCAAAATAAGAAAAAATGTGAGTATGTTTAGAATAATACTAATCCGTCTACACTTTTAAATATTAGTATAATGTGATAATTTATATATATCCTTACAAACTTTATAAAATAATACGAATTAAAAAATGCCCAATCTAAACTATTTTTCTATTACTGTCTATTTTTATTTTAATAAATTTTTATTTATTAATTTGATTTTGACAACTATAAATTGAAAAATCTATTTATTTATGCAAATTACATCTACATAAAAAATTTTAGATTTAAGCATAATAAAACAAAATTGGGCATTAAATTAAGTAAAAATAGACATTTGCTCCCACGTATTTATAGTAAAATATATCATATAATTTTTTTTGCATCTCATTTATCATGTACTAATTAATAAAATTATTTTATACACCTTTTGCTTATTACCCAATTAAATAACCATTTTATGTAAAAAAAAATCAAGTTAAACTTTAATTTACAATAAAAAAAGCGTGAAAGCATTGTATGTTAGTTATATTTATCCTTTATAATTTATTAAAAAAACTAAATGTATTGTTAGGAAAGAATGGTAATATACTTTTTTAACATTTACTCAAAACTTTTTAAAAAAATGTTTCTAATAACTATAAATTTAAATAATTTTTATCACTTACTCTTTGAAAAAATTGCAAATTTAGTCACAGAACTTTTGTTGTTTTCCACATTTGGTCCTAGGCCATAAACGTTGACTGTTAAGTCTTGACGGAGTAAGACCATTTTGGCAATGAAAATTCAAAAAGGATCATAATTGGCGTGTCTGAGACAAAATGTGAGAAACAACAAAAATTTTATGACCAAATTCATAATTTTTCTCTAAAAATTTAATTTAAAAAATACTCTCAACTGGAAAACACATCGTTTTTAACCCACTTAATTTGTGTGCCTACACTGGGTAGTAGCTGAAATAATCCTGAAAAACCAGCCATCAACAAAAGATCAATGAAATCCTCATACAGCCCTCAAATANTTCCCGGCCCAGTCAGCCTCGACGGGCCTAGGCACCTCGGGAGGCGTGCTGCACCTGATCAGAGCCCAATTCACCCCTTTAAAAAACGCGTGCTGCTTTATCTCACTCGCCCCCCTCTTCATCCCCACCCTATTCTGCGGCTCCTTCACGAGCAGCCCCCGGATAAGATCCCTGCTCGCGTAGCTAGTCGAGGGTGAATCCGGAAACTTCAGCTGCTCCCCAACCACATTGAAAAGCGTCTTCCGATTTTCCGACCCCTTAAACGGCGTTTTCCCGTACAAAAGCTCGTACAAGAAAATTCCGAACGTCCACCAGTCCACCGCACTCCCATGGCCCTCTCCTTTGATAATCTCGGGAGCTAAGTACTCGTGAGTCCCGACAAACGACATGGAGCGCGCGTTGGGCTCGGCCACGAGCTCCGGGCCTTGGGCCAGTGATTTTCCGGGCTTTTTCTTGCTCTTGGAGGGGAATAGAAAGCAGGATGGCTGGATGCATGCGGATGCAGGTTCGATGCACGTGGGCTGCACGCAGAAGGCAGATTTGTGCTCGGGATTGAAGGCGGAGTTTCGGATTAGGGTGGGAGAGACTGCGCATCTGAGGGAGAGGTCGAAGTCTGAGAGCATTATGTGGCCGTCGTCTCGGACGAGCACGTTTTCGGGTTTCAGGTCGCGGTACACGACTCCTAACATGTGAAGGTACTCTAATGCTAGGAGAACTTCGGCCGCGTAAAACCTGGGTTCGAGTAAGAATACGTAAAGAAAGAAAAATAAGGGCCACGAGAAAAGCTTTGGCGTGATTGACTAATTAGTCTGTATGCATCTAGATTTTTTTTTTGCATATTGTGACAAATGAATCTAGGTAAAACGGTATTTTGTCAGTTAAGCCTTCTCGATAGAACAAAAAGCAACAGTTTCTGCATCAAATTCGGCAAAAACAGTGCACAATGCCTCTTCCATTTCAGTACGCAAAAGGAAATGTCTTTGGACTAGCTAAAGCTTAGGCGAAATGAAACGGGCACTAAGGAACATTACATATAGCTTTCTAAGGTTTGGGAGTGATTTGCTGGAGACAGAAATATCAAGTAGCAACATTATGTCACTAATAAGCATGTGAACTCGTAAAATTATATATATGAACAGCCACATTATGCTAAAAATGAAGAGACTGTCAGTTTGATATCGTCTCACCAACTCATATACAAGAAATACTTAATGCAGACGTCCCAATTCAATGAAACTTCCAAAACAGCAACTATATTACCAGATCAAGCAACCAATCCAGGGACATTACTAAATTCGCACGAAGGGATTCAGCTCTTGCAATAAAAGACACAAAAAATGCAAAAAATAAAAATAAAAAAATTCAACCACAGAAATTTCGAAAAAAATAAAATGCAAAATTTTCATACCGTGTGGCATATTCCGAAAAATGTCTCCCGGGCTGCCTCTGCCTCAACGTGTGCAGGTCGCCACCTGGACAGTACTCCATGACAAGGCACGTAAACCTGTCAGTCTCAAAATGTGTATACAGAGTCGGCAAAAACGGGTGATCCAACAACTGCAGAATCTCCCTCTCCGTCTGGGCCCGATTAAGCTTGTTCCTACTCGCGAGCGAAGCCTTATCCATAACCTTCATAGCAAACAAGCACCTGCTCACACTCAGCTCAGACAAATACACGCTCCCAATATCCCCACACCCGAGCCTCCTCAGCAGCTTGAAATGACTCATGCCCAAAACTCCATCACGGGCCCGTACACCAAGTATAGCATTCCACCTCGGATCATTTCCTTTGTGAGGCTTATTCGCACTTCCAGTCGCGTTACTCCAGTTGCTCTCGTCACTAATCCCACTGCTGCTATCACTCGCACGGCCATAGTTTTTATCATCACTCATTATCCCGTCACTTTTATACGTGCTGGCGCAGCTATTGGCAATGCTCATGGTCCGTGCCATGCCAGCGCTGTCGATGCTGCTGCTGAGTGGGCTCACGTTGCCGCTCGCGGGTAAGGACGAATCCCACACGCACACTTTTTCCTCGGCGAATGGGGATAAGACAGCTGGCGAGTCCTTAAGTGATAACGGGCTATGATTTTTAATTGGGACATAGACAGGTTTTAGAAAGGCGGTGTCTGTGGGTTCGGGAGGGTGGCTAACACCGTGGAACGAGGTTGAACCGATTTCTTCGAACGAGTCTTGGCTTATTTTGAATGAGAGGACATCGGGCATGTGTTCTTCTTCTTCATCCTCGTCTTCTTGTAGGAATTTCTTACCTTTCCATGGTTGAGGAGGTGCGTGCAGGTTTAACTCGAAGGGAGCTTTTGGTTTGAATGGTTTTAGGATATCTTCTTTGAATATTATGGGATGAGTTTTTGTTACCTTGGGGACAAAGTGGAATTGTCTTGGGTGGGAATGTGAATTGGGGATTCTCTCCATGGCGAATTATAACCGTTTATCATCAATGTACTATTCTCTGTTCATTGAGATTAGTCTGCCGAGAAGCAAGAAGATATGGTTATGACGTACAATTGATGGAATTAGCCGATAAACAAGAGAACCAGAAAAGGTAAGTTAACAGGATATTCATTCCTACAAAAACAAAGGGCAGGATATCAAGAAGACTGCTGTTGTACAACTCTAAAAATCAGAAATAAACAGATAGGATGAGCATTTATGTGTAGTTAATAAAGAAGATCTAAGAAATCTTATGATTGCTGTAAGAGAACTTATAATGCATAAAGGCAGATCTTGAGGTTTACCAAAACAGATTAACAATTAAGTTTCAAATTGTCATTTTTAATACCAAAAGTGGATACACTAACGTTCTCCAGATTCGAATATCATATTGCCTGGGTTTATAAGGCAAATCCTTGAGAAAAAACTCACATCCACAAATGAAAAGATCTTTTTAATCCCCCAGCTCATTAACTTGTGAAAAAAAAAAAAATTGTAAAAACCCAAAATCCCAGGTCAAAATTAGCAAAAATGTCTATACATTATCTCCCAATGTTCTGGAACTCAATCATCTATCATGCATAAGATTTCAGAAATNCCAAAAAAAAAAAAAGGCCCAAAATCGATACCTCCACGAAAGGGCAAAACATGAATATTTTGTTCCTTCAGGAACCGGAAACTCGAGTAAAGAAGGATTCTTATTCCTTGTTTCGAAGATTACATACAGCAGGCAGGCAGATGAGAAAAAAAGGATGAGATTTTTGACTCTGTGTGTGCTTGCTTTTGCTTTTTCTGCAGAGAAATGACTGTGAGTATGTAAAATATGTTCTCTCTCTCTCCCTTATTCCTGTCTGTCACAGTGTATTTTCACTTCTTTTGGGGCTATGGGTGCTTTTGTCATGTGTTCATTGCGATACGTGCTTTGAAAAGAGGATGGAGACTCGGGTCTGCCAGGTGGGGTCAGGTAGAAAGACGAGATTAACCCTCCGCCTAAACTCATTCATTCATTATTTTGGGATTGGCCAATTATATTTTTTTAATGATATATGTTTATGACATGTATAATAATTTTATGTATATTGTTATTCATGAAAAATTTTAGGTGTGTCCAACTGAACACTTCTCATGCAAAAGCTATATATATCCTACAATTCATGACTAAAAAAAAATTATAAAAACCAGCATAATGGTCAAAAGTAACTAAACACTTTTATACAAATATATATATATATATATCTTTTTTTTAAAAAAAAATTATGACAGACTGGATGGATATTTAATAGAAATTCAAATTATGTAACCCTAGCTATAAATAGAAATTATGTCTTGCTAATTCCACTCGATAATAAGATCGACGAGGCTCTAATCTATCCCTATTATGCGTTCGAAATTGTTTGAATTTTAGATAGGCAAATAATGGATCTTGTAGACTTTGGATTTATATAACTGTTCACCCTATAGATCGACACTAGTTTGGTAAATACTCTGTGTCATTGGTAAAGGTAAACTAGTATCGAAGTACTCCTCCATTTTGAAATATAAGGCATTTAAGGTTATTGCACAAATATTAAGGAGACATTAATTAATGAATAAATTGACTAAATTAACCTTATTTACTCTAATCACAACCACTCCACACTTCCTTAATTTCAACACAATGAGGGTATATTTAGAAAAAAATACAAAAATTTGTATTGATTTTTTAGCGCGTCTTATATTTCAAAAAAATTGAGAAATCTTTATACGCTTTGTATTTCAAAATGGAAGGAGTAGTTGTTAGTTTGGAAGAATAAATGACTTTTTTTGTAATTATGTTAAAAGCCATGGTTAGTGTTTGTATTTAATGTTATTGCCACATCTAAACTATGATTGCTGTAAATTGCCCCCAAAAATTATTCTTTATCTTTCCCACAAGTAATGCTAATGTTTTATGTCTTTTTAAGAACTAGTATTCGATCGTGTGCATTTGCACAGATATAAAACACGTTTTTCTTTGTATTTATTAATTAGTCATGTACTTCTATCATATAAAAATTATTACTTTTTCTTGTTATTTTTATCATTCAAAATTAATTGAGATTTAAATTTTATTTTAACCATGAAACGTTTAAGTTAGTAACATGAATAAAATAATTTATATATCTGTGGCATATATTAAGAATTGATATAAATAAAAAAAATTATTGGTGTTTCTGATTTTTAGAAAGAAAAATGTGTCAATCATATTTTTCTGTCAACAATGCAACCAAATGTAGCAGTTACAGCTCTGAATGTGTCAATCAACTACCGTTACACATTTGAATATTTTGCTACCAAATTTAGAATTTATTTAGTAACTGATCCAAAAAATAAATAATAAAAATATCTATATTAAGGTGTAACAGTTTAGCAGATTAGTGAGTAATTAATTAAAAAAATATAACTCCTTTTGGAGGGAAATGAAAATAGGTTTTATTAAATGTTTTATTAAATCCATCACCCAAAAATTATTTATATATATATATATATATAAACTCTGTTATTGTCTCTTATATATATATATACACATTTGGAACTATTAAATTAGGTAACTTATAAAGAATTCATTTGATGTTATATTATATGTTGAATTTTAATTATTTTTTTTATTTATATTCTTTTTTGCAGGATGAATTCACAATTTAAGGAGATGGGAAATATCTTTTTTTTTTTCTAATCTGTTTTTGATAATTTGTATATGTGTTGTATTTAGTGTTACTTATTCATTAATATTTATTAATTTACGAAGGAATCTAAAAATATATATTTTTCAAAATACATTTTCTAGTAACTTATTTAAATTTTTAGCTGTCAATATGCTGACCAAGTCAAGGTTTTGCATTAAAAAAGTTTATTAATAATTGGGTCCTTTAATTAACTTGTTAATAAAAAAAAATCAGAATGTTGTAATGGCGGCAGGATTGACTACAGTATTGAATTACAATAAATAAAATTTTGCCAACTTAAAAAAGTAATGTTTTTAGGCGGTAAATGCCAGCTAGGTATAATTAAATAAGTTTTCTTAAATGTTCATGAGCCAGTAATTATATATAATAGTTAAGTATAATATAATAGTTAAATATAATATGCTATTTATGTCGCTTTAACAAGCAAAATTATTATTATTATTATTATTATTATTATTACTAGCAAAGCAATCAATAAAAATATTTTGGTTCCCTCCAATTTCTGTTACAAAAGTCTATCATGAATATTTTTTTTACCTTTCACATTAATACACCCTATTAAGTATAATCATATAATTTTTGATATTATATTATATAATAGTTAACGCTAATATCAATTAATAATAATTTATACCAAATACAAATTGCATCCAAATTTTTTTCTTCATTATTATTATTATTATTTTTTTTTTGGTATCTCATGAAACAATTTTCTCTAAAAAATTAGCTAAATAGTTTTAATAGCATAGTCAAACCACTTTGAAATCTTATAAACAATTGTTGATTTAATAATAATAATAATAATAATAATAATAATAATAATAATAATAATTTTTCAACTAAATTATTTGAACATGATATCTCCAAATTATAAAACTTACATTGCCATTTTTTTCAATCAATAGTGATTCATACATATTTAAATAATTTATATTTATATTATTTTCTTTTTACTAACGGTCAAATCTTAAAAATGTGATATGTTCATTATTTATAATTTTGATATTAAATTCACATATTACATATACTACTTTATATATATCTATGCATGTGCACATGATGATTACTAGTTACAACTATTATTATATGTGTTCTCTAGTTTTGTTGGCCATCTAGTCATATATAGACTGAAATATGCATGAGAACATCACAATTATAACTACAAAATAAATATATAAATCAATATATAAATGAGTTGCAAAAATAGTATTGATATAACTACTACAATACTGCAATAGAATTGATTTCTCAACATTAATAACAAATCCCTACGATTTTCTATTAATTTGGTAACGAGGCATATACCCAAAAATCATCTATTCAAGGATTTCAAAAATATTATTTGATTTTATCAACAATTGCACCAAAACCAGTTTTTTAAAAATTCATATTGCGATTCACAATATCATAACAAAACTCATATAAACTAATATATTAGAAAGAAAATTTAAAATATTTATAATGTACATTATTATAATTATAATAAAAACAAAATAATATTGACATAATTAAAAAATAACATTTGTTTTTTTTTTAACTTCAAAATAATATATATTACAATATTTTTCAATTAAGTGTTGCTCATAATATTTGTCATAATTTTTTAACTTTAGCATAACTTATTTAAAAGTTAAAATAATATATTGTAATAAGACATGATTAAGGTAAGATAGAGAAAGATAAATATTATGTGAGTATTATTTATTGATAATGTTATAATATGATAAATTTTTATTATCCTTAATTATATACAAAAACTCTAAAATGACAACTATTTTATAACGAGTGAAATAAACATATAAATAAGATATTATATTATTATATATTATAAGATAAAATAAAAAATAATATTAATATTCAAAACTATTTTTATAATAATCAATATTCCTTCATTGTTTTAATTCATGCAATTTATAATTATTGTCTCGTGTATCGCACAGGCTACGTACTAGTTAAAAGAGAGAAAACGACCAAATCTCTGTAGCTCCTGTGAGCAACTTGAGAACTGCCAAGATGTAATGATTAATTTTGAAAATAGAAACTTAAAGAGTTATATGTCCCGTTTGGTAGATAGCAGATTAAAGATAAATTAGCGGATTTGACTTAATTGAGAGGTTTGACCCGTCAAATCCGCTATTGAGCCTGTTTGGTAAATAACTTATTTGATAAACTTTTTGGACCGAAAACTCTAATTTAGAAAAAGCTCATTAGAGCAGCGTTTTGGGGACAGAGGATTCACAAGATCATTTACTTGGAACTTTTTAATTTGTATTATTTATTTTACAATCTACATTGGTTTATGGTGCTAATAAATAATAATATGTCATCCATATGATCAATTTATCTAGAAAAATATAAAATTCATAACTTCTTCATCAAGTGTTAGTAAATTTACAAAAAAAAATATATTTACAAATTACCACCTAAAGAATATTAAATGTTTTAATATATAATTATTAAAAGAATACAGCCTAAATATAATGTCCTTATTGGTCATTTTGCAATGTCAAACAGCTATAAGCCTTCAGCTATTTACCAAACACTTATTTAAAAATCGCTATTACAATCCGCTGGTCAAATCAGATAATATAATCCGCTATCCGCTAATCGTCAAACAATGTGATAGCATCGAAAAGCAATATTGGATGAGTCTCCAACAATAATAAGAGATAGTAGAAAAAACAAAAAAAAATCCCCATAACCAAATTGTAATCAATTATATGGATGTTTGGGATGTTATTCACTAATCAAAATACTCAAATATCTTTGAAATTAAACTCAAAATCAAAAGAAATGGGAAAAGAAAAATAAAGTCATCTTTTCATAGATTTTTCATTTGGGTTGAATAAATGTGAAAATACCTCGGTCTTTTCTACAAATATTGTAAGGTTGTTTGTTGTTTATGACATTTCATATTACGTGACACACATATATAAAATCAGCATATGTTTTTAATGGTGTAAAAGAAGTGATGGAACTAATGCATGCCATTTTAAATCGGAGAAAGAGGAAGAAATTTATGTCCCTTGGAGATTAGTTCTGGCTCAATATATTTACCATTCATACAAAAATTATTTAAAGAAAATTGAACTAATTAACCAAAATGGACATGGTGAAAAAGAATTGAAGAATGAAATAGACATGTGAAGTTCATTCACGATGAAGTAGTGTACAAAATGCATAACATAAGACTGTGACTGATTGTATAAGCAGTTTGTCACTAAACCTAGTGAGCGAACCCAAAAAGAAAGAAGTCTATTTATACGACAAGCCACTTAATCAGATAAAAACAAAAAAGGAGAAAAACGAAATGAATAATTAAAATGAATAAGCAATAAAGCAAATATATAAAGGAAAAATGAAATTTAACTTGGGGGACATATGGTNATTTTCATGACCCCAATAAAGTGTCCTGTGGTCTTCCAATCCCATGAAATCATGAAACTCAGTGACAAAAATGATTAACCAACTATTCTAAACAACTTTAATATATTTCCCAGTACAAGAATTATGTCAAAAAAAATTAAAATAAAAGTAATTAAATTCCTGTTCTTTGTGAACTATTGGATCCCTTCACGCAACTTCACAAAAAGTGAAAGTTTGAGTAGAGGAGTATAGGAATTGGGGAAAGGAATTGTGACATTTCAAAATGTGTGGGTTCTTTATATGGTACTCTCTCTTATTTTAAATATTTGTCATCTTGACTATCAACGCACTAATTAAGAAATATTTTTCTTTCCAAATTTAACCCTATTTAATGACATAATTGTGGATGGATGTTATTGGGAATATGAAGAAACAATGGGTATTGATGGAGGAGTTAAAAGGGAAAAATATGAACAAAATAGCCAAAACGACATTTATTTAACAAATGATCAATTAAGTTAGAATGACAAATATTAAAAATAGGAGAGAGTACCTTTTTTTCATACTGGCTATTAGTACTATAATTATTATTTTGCCCCACTAAATTATGAATTTGAGCTATATTAGCTATACATAAATCTAGCACTTTGATGATGAATTGGTTTAATTTCGAATGATGGCACTTGATTCATAATTAAAGGGCTAATTAGGCGTGCCCAAAGAGGAGAATAAACGTAGTCTAATTAGGAGAGCTGATATATATAATGGACAATAGCTGTCGTTATTGTTCTTTAACTCACCGTTCATTGGGAAGTTGAAAATGAAATCCAATATTGTAAAAAGTCTTATTTGTCAAGCATTTAGTAGATTTTAAGTAGACAAAGTAGGGAACAACATGATTAACGGATAACTAGGAAAAAATCATAGAAGTCTTGAATCATGAGGTGATTGTCTTAAGCCATGGCTGACTCGTATATTTTATTAATGTAAGGTGGACCTTTAAAATACTGATTTTTATTTTTTTTAATTGAAGAAATGTGAAATAAGATCAAGCCTCAATATGAAAAATTTCGGGTCAAACTGTGGATATATATCCCTGAAAATGAAGGAAAGGAATCATTAGTTAATGTTATTTGTACATAATTAAAGCCATGGAAATACAACTCGTTGAAACATTTTATTAAACAAATCAACTATTTGTTGTTCTTTTATGAAACGAATTAATAGTTTGCCTTCACTTTTTTCCCCTACATCAATGAAACAAAAACTGCTAGCACAATGCCCTTGTACTATTATATAGTTTTATAAACAAAAATCTATATCTATATCTATATTTATATTTATATCTATATAAAAAAATTTGATTATTTTTTAAATAGTAACTATTTCCTTCCAAAAAAAATCTATTTGTTATTTCGGAAAATTAATTTAACAATTTATGATATAATACCTCCTTTTTTTTATAAACGTCATTTTGGTTTTATCAATAATTAACCAAATAAATGACGTTTTGGATCTTTTGTACATATTTTTTCATTATTACCCTTTTCATATTCACTCTTCATCTTTTTTCAAAACATCTATCTCTATCCT